CAGTTACCTTACTGGAAGAGAAGAAATGTTACAAAACTGTTATCAAACTTGGTGGGATTTGAACTACTTATCTTCTGCACCAAAGTCTGGTGACTCCACCACCAGGCTAACTCCTAGCTCTCATGGTAAGGTTTAACTAATCTAAGTTTAGACAGTTACCTTACTGGAAGAGAAGAAATGTTTCAAATCTGTTACCAGACTTGGTGGGATTTGAACTCTTCATCTTCCTGCACCAAAGTCTGGTGACTTCACCACCAGACTAACTCCCAACTCTCATGTTAAGGTTTAACTAACCTAAGTTTAGTCATTTACCTGAGTGGAAGAGAAGAAATGTTTCAAAATTGTGTAAACTAAGTATTTCACATTGTCTTACCAGACTTGGTGGGATTTGAACTCCTGATCTTCCTGCACCAAAGTCTGGTGACTTCACCACCAGACTAACTCCCAGCTCTCATGTTATGGTTTTACTAACCTAAGTTTAGACAGTTACCTGAGTGGAAGAGAAGAAATGAAACTTTGTGGGATTTGAACTCCTGAACTTTGATACTTCAGGTCGGGCAGTTAAAGGTCTGACCCACTGGACCACCTAGCAGCTCTCTCACTCCATGTTTTAACTTCTCTAAGTTTTCTAAAATCAGTGAACGTTCAGGTCTGATGAAGAACAAACATTTCAGCTAAACTCACAGAAAACAATTCAAGATGGCTGCCACAGCAAACAAACATCAGGTTTTAAACGTCTGCTTGTTAAAGGAGCAAATAAACCACAGAATCAATTAAAGCACTTAAAACACAAACAAACACATTGTTTTTATTTTTATTTAGAATCAGAACCAGGATCCAGTTTTCTTTATAAATCAACAAACATGACTCAGCGAAAACCAAAGAGGTCAGACTGACTGAAACCTGCAGTCAGAGGATCCAACATGGCACCAAGTTTATTAAAAACACCAGAAAAAAGCTTTGATTTGTGGAAAATCAGATTTAGAGTTTTAGTTTCAAACWTTTATCTGAATTTATCTGAACTGGACTTTGTTACAAAAATAAAACTTAAAATCATAAAACTCTGGAGATTTAAAACATCTAATCCACACTGAGTGAAGTTACATGTCRGTAACTAGCAACAGGTCAGGGTTACCTGTCAGTAACCACCCATAGTACCATGCTACCAGTAGAACTGATGGATCACTGATCTGGTACCAGTCTGGTTTGGTCCATCAGGACCTTCAGAGTTCTCCARATGTTTACAGCTGCATGAAAACCACCTTTAATGAACAGGTGGGAGGAGAACACCTTCAACGATTTATATATTTGGATTTATGATAACTGGATTTCTGCTGATCAGTGGAGGCTCATTCCTGATCTATCGAAAAGTGAAAGTGGTCCGGGCCGTTGAGAAGCTGTCGGGCACAGTGGATGGATTCTGCCGTGCTGGGAGCACACAGACTCAGTTGCTGGGGTAGATAAGTCACAAACTGGATGTGATTCTGATGAGAATTGCAGCTCAGGTTTTTACCAGRCTAGAGATGCAGTAAAGACATTAAAAAGCAGCAGGAAATTCAAGGCTGCTTTGTCCCAAAACAATTGTGTTTATCTATTGGCTCTCAGCTGTTTGGCCTAGACTGCCATGTTTATCTAAACTCCCCAAGGATGATAAGTCAMCAAGGGCTTGATTCCCTCCCACCCCCCTCACCCGTGTTGGACCTGGCCTGTGAACCCAAGGCCTAGGAGGAGGAGACTCTGAACTCAGGTGAACCGAGCAAGAGACGATAACATCATGGACTCTGGATTCTGGGGRGCTATGGTCRGTCCTAGTACGGAGACCCACCATCAATGTCACCGACTCCACTGAACCCCGCCCCATCTCATGTGTTGTACCTGAGCTCCCTCCCTGCCCCAGGCTGTCTTAACTCGTGCGCGTGCGTACGTGTGTGTGTGTTGTTCTGGTTCTGGACCTTCAGTGACTCTGGATGTTTCCTGTGAACAGATGAGACCTGCCTGTCTGGTAACAGCTCTCAGACCTGACCCTGTTCTGGATCACAGTTAACCCTGGAGTCCTGCTCGGTGTGTGCAGTCATGGATGAGCAGGCGCTGCTGGGGCTGAACCCCAACGCTGACGCCCCCTACAGGCAGAGGGTGAGTGCAGCAGGACTCAGGCCTGTTTCAGCTGCTGGTTCTGGTTCTGAAGTTGCTCTCYGTGTCCTCCAGGCCTTGGCGTACTTCGAGCAGCTGAAGGAGTCTCAGGATGCCTGGGAGGTTTGTGCTAACGCCCTCGCTAACAGGATCTACAGGTGAGCATACTCAGCTTCCTGCTTCCTACTTCCTGTTTCCTGCTTCTCTGACTGCTTCTCTGTTTCAGTGATGACCACATCAAGTTCTTCTGCTTCCAAGTGCTGGAGCATCAGGTGAAGTTCAGGTGAGGAGCAGGAGGTGGGGTTGTCCTCTGGTCTGAGTGCAGCCGGACGTCTCACCTGTTGTTGATGTTGTTGTTGTTGTTGTTGTCGTTGTTGTTTCTTCTCACCTCTTGTTGTTGTTGCTGCTGCAGGCACGGCGCTCTGACTGCAGCTCAGCAGCAGCTCATCAGAGAGACGCTGATGAAGTGGCTGCAGTGTCAGGTGAGTTCACCTGCTGAAGCAGAACCAGCTGCAGGCTGTTCAGCCTGATGTTCTGATGGGTTCTGGTGGGTTCTGGTGGGTTCTGGTTGGTTCCAGCTGATGAGCTCGCAGCCAGAGAAGACCTTCATCAGGAACAAAGCAGCTCAGGTGTTCGCCCTCACCTTCGTCATGGAGTACCTGACTCTGTGGCCCAAGTTCTTCTTCGACATCCTGTCCCTGGTGGGCCTGAACCCGCACGGCGTGGACGTGTACCTGCGCACGCTGATGGCCATCGACGGCGAGGTGGTGGACAGAGACATCCTGCACACACCTGAGGTCAGCAGCAGCAGCTCTGCTGGGTGTGCAGAGGGGCGGGGCTTGATGCAGTCTGCTTCATGGCGTGTTGTTGACGTGTCCCACAGGAGACCCGCAGGAACACGCTGATCAAGGACCACATGAGGGAGCAGTGCATCCCCAGCCTGGTGGAGTCCTGGTTCCAGATCCTGACCGCGTACCAGCAGTCCCACCCGGAGCTCACCTGTCAGTGTTTGGAGGTGGTGGGGGCCTACGTGTCCTGGATCGACCTGAGCCTCATCGCCAACGAGCGGTGAGTGCAGGGGGCGGAGTCTGAGTGAGCAGTAAGGTTATAAGAGTTTAGCATTTTTCATTAGAGTTTAGTTTGATTTCATTGTGACTTTAATTCAGTTTTAATTAGTTTTTACAGTGGATTTACTAGTTTTTATTAGTTATTACATTTTTAATGCTTAGTTTTAGTTTAGTTTTTTTGGTTCTAATATTAGTTATTTTACAGTTTGAATAAACATATTTATCAATGCATCCTGCAGCTTGTGTTGTGAGTTAACTAACCAACAGATATTTGATCACTATTGTATTTATTCAAGTATAAATCGTAAAATTTAAACCATAAAATCATCCATAAAGTTGGGTGGTAGTATTATAC